GGGCCTCATGGCAAAATCAAACTAACCAGTCACTTATCCCTTTCGTTTGCATAAACCACTGTATAATTATAAAAAACACAAAGTAAACTCTCTCCGATACATGCCCATTAACATATTAAACTAAGTTCATCTGTGTTCAAACTCACACAATGATACTAGCGAGGTTAATAGTTTTAGATATTTATTCATAACATAAACAGCGCTAGCATTTCTGTCGATTTTATTTCAGCTTAACCGGCCGCTATCCGGAAGAAAACATGCACCGTACTGACTGCTAGGGCAGTTATTTTCTGCTTTGAATACTTCCCACTGGCAATAATGATTCCGTAACGTACCCCTTGCGCTATCTTTTGACCATTTGGCAACTATTCGCTTCGTAGCTGACACGGTACAACACTTTTCTTTGGCTTACTTCACACGGCCAGTCATTTTGTTTACAAAGAAATGGTGTGCTATGCGCATGCGCTAGTAGAGGGAAATCCCTGAACAAAACGTTGGTCAGACAGGTAGAAATACCGATGATTATCTTAGATTTAATCATTTTTATGAATCTATTTTAGCCAAATCCGATCGGCATTTTCCATAAGGAGTCTCACTTGATATGTTTATGTAGTATTTGGAAAAGACAAAAAAAAAAAAGTTACTTCAGCGTGATGCCCCTTTAACTGAATCTTAACTAGAGATTATTCAGGTAGTTATCTTAACTGCAAGTCATTTATTAATTTGGATTATTTAAATTAATCAAATGCAATGAAACAACACATGAAGTGCCTGCATTGTATATTATGTCATGATAAATAGTTGCCAGAAATTAAGTATTCTATAACTTCAGTGTTCAGGTTGATGAGGTTACGCCATAACATGTTAAAGGAAAATACCTCACTAACAAGTTAGACAGTGTGTTATAACATCTCTAGTGAAAACTAGAGCAGTTGAATTTCAATTAGTTTTTATGATCAAAGTTTGAAATGTTCAGTTAAGAGAAAATTTTCTGCATTTGATTTATTGTTCACTGTTCAATAAAGTTTGAGAATTACAATGGAGTTGAGAACTTTTTTCTCATCAATACATGTCTGTTCAGTAAGCCAAAAGATATGCATGTTTGACAAGATAATATTGACATCACATATGAAATTAAGTCCACCATATACCATGTTGTCACAACACAAATGCACATTTGGGATTTGTTAACCTATATTCCAGTCCCATTTTTGAAGTGAATGACTAATATACAAGGCTTTTAGTGGGTTTGGGTGAAGATCCAAACTCGGAATCAACCTAATCTTCTACAAGAGGCCCAATGGGCCTGCATCGCTCACCTGATCTAAATCTCACACTTGTAACCTTAAAAGTAATCTAAAATAAAGCTACAGGCAAAATATCAGTATTTGTGACTATAAGTCATTCAAAAGAACATGTTAAAAGATTTAAAAACCATTTCACCCCTGTGACCTTAAATGGCCAATAAGGTCATTACGTTATAGCCCTTCATCTCAGGATGCAACTTGCAAAATATCGCCACCTTATCCTTTTTAGCTCACCTGGGCCAAGTGAGCTTATGCCGTGGTGCGTCGTCTGTCCGTCCGGCATAAGCCCTTCGTCCCATCATGTTATGGGCCAAATTTCATCATCCTGTCCCTTTTGGTTTTTTAGAAGAAGTTGTTTAAAGGTTTCAAACATATTTGACCTCTGTGACCTTAAATATAAGTCAAGGTCATTCATTTAAAAACAACTTTGTAGCTCTTCATCCTAGTCTGCTAATGACCAAATATCAACATCCTGGGCATTTTGGTTATTCAGAAGAAGTTCAAAGTTTTTTTTAGACATTTGAATACCAGTGAAGGTCTTTTATTTGAACAAACTTGGTAGCCCTTCTTCCCAGCATGTTCTGGCCAAATATCAACAAATTGGTCCTTTTGGTTATTCAGAAGAAGTTGTTTAAAAACTTCTAAGACAATTGACCCCTGTGACCTTGAATATAAGTGAAGGTCATTAATTTGAACAAACTTTTAGCCCTTCATCCCAGCATGCTACTTCGACAAATATCATCACCCTGGGCATTTCGGTTATTCAGGAGAAGTTGTTTAAAGGTTTTTAACATATTTGACCCCTGTGACCATGAATATAGGTGAAGGTCATTTATTTTAACAAACTTGGTAGACCTTCATACCATTTTGCTTCTGGCTAAAATATCATCACCCTAGGCCTTGTGGTTATTAAGAAGAAGTTGTTTTAAAGTAAAATATTGACAGACGCCGGACGCCGCACCATGGCACTATAAGCTCACTTGGGCCTTTGGGCCAGGTGAGCTAAAAACTGACAATCCCTTGCTAGCATGCAAGTGAAATGTTTGAAGCCAGTGATTATAATTTGAACATTATGTTGCAGCCTGAGACAGAATCATTGTGTGTCCCGAAATCTTGTACTGCGACCTATGGAAACTGGTGCTTTGGGAGGGTTTTGGCCACGTTGTGGAATAACTTACCATCTGCTATATATTAGACAGTCAAATACCCTAGCCAAATTCAAGAATGATATAAAGACCCAACACCTCTTCAAGTTTGCATTTAAGGCTCTTTACACAAATTTATTCATTTATATGCACATTGAGATGATTATCTTCTTGCTTAATTCATAATGGTGGTTGCAACCCTTTTTTGTTTATCGATTAAAACTAATACTATTATCCATATGTTGTAAAGCGCTTTAGAGTAATTTTACAAATTATATAGATTATATAGGCACTATATAAATGTTGTACATTATTATTATTAAAACATACAAGGTAAGTCAACATTATTTATAAAGAGAATTCACCACTAGACTTGTCAGATCTGACATTTCTGATATTCCTTGTTACTGTATCATATCCCCAACGTTTTCACTTATGTTCAAAGGTCTAGTTCCTTTCTGTAGATCAACTCGATATAATTTACTTTACAAGATACAAATGCATTTCATTAATTCTTAAAAAGTATACATTTTGATTTAACACCCATGAAGAAAAAGAAAGCTCAACTATTTATATACAAGATATTTTATTATGATTTAAAATGTACCAGTCTACAGACACACATCAAAAATTATCATTTCACCGCGCTCTCCCGTTCAGACAATCTCACAGTTTCATATCCCAATTCATTTTCACTCGCCCTTAAACTGATACAGACATGCTGTGTTGACTTGTTTCATACAGACTTGCTGTGTTAATGTGATATTGTCCCACGATGTCTTCCTAGTTTGTTGTCTCCCTTTATTTTGAACTTGAGTGAAACTCACTCGCATAAATCACAATATATCCTACAATTGGTTGTAGTGTAAAAAGTCCCTTACTTTATGAAAATGTGTCTATAACAGTTAGAATTGATTTTTTTCCTGTTTAGAAAAGCACTGGATAGATGGTGATTACATGAACAAGTCTTAATTTATGAAAATTGTTTAATGTAAAAGCAAATTTCTTATTCTAATTATGGTAAAAGAATGCTAACAACAAAAATATCCTATCTGAAATTCCAATATTCCTACCTGTAGGAAGGAATTTTCACTAATATGTGTTTTGAAGTCATCACTAGGTGCTTGCTATTATGGGAACATGATTTTATGCTTTCCATGTGAACTTGATTTTGTGCCATATAGATGCTTTTTATGTGAACATGATTTCTGTCAGCTGACAGGGCCACTTTTCTGTTATAACTTTTCATCATACAGCTCCACAGTATACACCCAATCATTTGTGGCACACAGAATCAACTCGAGACATAAATCTAACAATTTTCAGCAGATTAAGAAATTCTTTTCTATATTGTTATGATTCTTACATTATTTCAGATGTTACAGTTATAAAATAACAATAGGATTCCATCTAAATATTTGCTACATGGATCAACAGATATAAGTGATACACACGTCATTAAAAGCCCTAGAGATTCTGGACTACAGTAAAATGTGCAACAGTTTGAAATTTGAAGTTTAAGTACAATTAATGGATGATAGAATTTGTTTTGTTTAAAATTTTTGTAAGTTAATGAATATGTAATACAATAAATTACAGTGTACATCTTTGTTATTTTCACTAACAAATAACAACATATCACATTATTTTACGATCATCCAAAAATGAAGTATGTACAGAACCCTGAACCAATATTTTGTGTCCAAAATGTTCTGGTTATTGTTTTTTGAAAGAATCTCTGAATGTATATATATAGATCGCTTCACATGTCAGCTGTTTTATACAGCGAATTGTTAACAGCAACAACTTTACCGTCCAATATTTCAGAAAATCTAGATGAAATGTAAAGTATCAATTCAAATTACAAATTCTGTTTAACTGTTTTTAGCAGTTTATGTTAACTGTTTCAAAAACTCTGTTCTCTGCACAATTAAGCAGAAATTCCCAGTTCTGCAGATATGGAAACACTCAACAAAAACGAGCGTTACAACTGTTCCTCCGCTACACATTGGTGACTGTTTGTCCACTAACACATTGGTGACTGCCCTTTGAGTTATGTTGGGGGTTTAGTCGTGCCAAAACCGGAGAATCCCATCACAGATGCCATGTCTGGATCAACATTAATATTCAGTCCTGTTGAGTCGTCGGCTTTCCTCTTCCTCTCCTTCCTTTTCTCCTTCCTGTATGCCTTCTGCTTCTCTTCCTGAAATATTTCAAAAAAATTGCACTAGATACAAACTATACCAGTTTCCCAAAGAAAACTACTGAACTACCTTCCTTTTTTGAATTCCTAAATTTGAATTGAGTAATACAACAATGTCTTAATATATGTGGATCAATCTGAGTTCTTATGAAATTGAGTGATTTACAATAATAATCAATCTGGATTATCTTCAAATATTTACATTCTATTTGTTTTAGTTCCTGTCACTAATCAACCATGTAGTTCAGCTTGATTACTACAATATCTTCACAGTTAAAGACATCATATAAAGTAACATTTATACAGGTACATATAATGTACAATACAATTTATGTTATTGTTTTACTCCACACAAAACTAGTTATTCACTATGTGTATGTATGAACTTTTTAGGAACTTAGTATTACACCAACATTAAATGTGCTGTAAGTGAATGCACAGAATTACCATGCAGTATTTAAATATTTAGCAAAATCAAATATATAGTATAAAAGTTACACTGTTAAATTTCCTGGATCGTTTCAAAAGTTGATTTAACAAAATATATTATTTTATATATGATTTTCCAAGACACTGTTAGTTGGCATTGATACAGTCAATGTTTCTAAAGTAACATTTTTTTGCACTGTGACCTATCAGTACACAGGACTATCATGTGACCTATCAGCACACATGACTATCATGTGACCTATCAGCACACATGACTATCATGTGACTTATCAGCACACATGACTATCATGTGACCTATCGGCAAACAGGACTATCATGTGACCTATCAGCACACAGGACTATCATGTGACCTATCAGCACACAGGACTATCATGTGACCTATCGGCACACAGGACTTTCATGTGACCTATCAGCACACAGGACTATCATGAGACCATCAGCACACAGGACTATCATGTGACCTATCAGCACACAGGAATATCATGTGACCTATCAGCACACAGAACTATCATGTGACCTATCAGCACACAGGACTATCATGTGACCTATCAGCACACAGGACTATCATGTGACCTATATCAGCACACAGGACTATCATGTGACCTATTAGCCCACAGAACTATCATGTGACCTATCAGCACACATGACTATCATGTGACTACAAACCTCTTCCTTTAGCTCCTTCATTCGCTCTTCAAAATCGTATTCCTTCTTTTTCTCCTCCTGTTTTTTCACATTCATTTCAAATCTTTTCTTCACCTGATCTAAAGACGACCTCTCAATTTTCATGGACATGCCTAAATTTCTCTGATCTGAAATAGAATGTAATCAGCACGGTGACATTAGTTCTGGCAGCATATTGAGGTAATAAACAGATATCATCACAGTATCCACAATGGGACACTAAACATATACATGTAGCCAACTCTGGTATTTACAGAAAACTTACATGATAACTTTTATGTATATATCTGGTTATATCAAATAGAGAAATAATGAGTTGTGATACCTACATTACCCTTTTGGTGTTTATAATGAGTTGTGATGTCTACGTTACCCTTTTGGTGTTTATAATGAGTTGTGATACCTATGTTACCCTTTTGGTGTTTATAATGAGTTGTGATATCTACATTACCCTTTTGGTGTTTATAATGAGTTGTGATGTCTACATTACCCTTTTGGTGTTTATAATGAGTTGTGATACCTACGTTAACCTTTTGGTGTTTATAATGAGTTGTGATACCTACGTTAACCTTTTGGTGTTTATAATGAGTTGTGATACCTACGTTTTTTGCCATTGATGTGATCCAGAAAATTGATGGAATCCTTCACTACACAGTCACACACATTACAGTAATACCTGTAACACAAAGCAAGTCAGTTACACAGCATCAAATTAATATTACCACATCATTACTGCATTATGTCAAAAAGTGATTGTGAAACATCGTGCGGCACTCCAGGTTATATTATGGTACCTATCGATCGCTATCGCTCAATTGAGATTCTTTATTTCTTTCCACATCATATTTTCACAGTAGACTATTAAACAAATTGATGACAGTAGACTTTATACACCAAGTCCATCCTATCATATTACTACACGACACATGTACAGGTGTTGCTTACCCTCCTTGTTGGGAGGCCGGTGTTGTCTTGGTGATCACTTGAGACTTGCCAAGTTTTGAATCGAGATCGACCTGGAACAGATACAATAAGTATAGTTTATAATCAAGTGTTCTGTCATCAATACAAACACTTGGTTTGGATACAACATGAATGGTAAAGAAACATTTTATAGTGGATCATTAGGACATGTGACTTAGGTTATCATCATTATATAAGGTTGTATTACATGTCTTAAATGAGGGCTAGTTACCAATATTATTATATGAGGGTGTGTTACATGGATTATATATTGCGGGTGTGCTACAAGGATTGGTTTGGTTTGATGTTATTTTGTTTAATATCACATTAACAACCAAGGTAACTAAAGGGTGTGTCTGCATGTGTGTATGTGTGTATGTGTGCTGAAGGCATGTTACAAGTATTATATGAGGGTGTGTTACATGGATTATATGAGGGTGTGTTACATGAATTATATGCGGGTGTGTTACATGTATTATATGAGGATGTATTACATGGATTATGTGAGGGTGTATTACATGGATTATATGAGGGTGTGTTACATGGATTATATGAGGGTGTGTTACATGGATTATATGAGGGTGTGTTACATGAATTATATGAGGGTGTGTTACATGTATTATATGAGGGTGTATTACATGGATTATGTGAGGGTGTATTACATGGATTATATGAGGGTGTGTTACATGTATTATATGAGGGTGTATTATATGATGGCGTGTTACATGGATTATATGGGGGTGTGTTACATGTGTTATATGACGGTGTGTTACATGTATTGTATGAGGGTGTGTTACGTGAATTATATGAGGGTGTGCTACAAGTATTACATGAGGGTGTATTACGTGGATTATATGAGGGGGTGTTACAAGTATCATATAAGGGTGTGTTACAAGTATATTATATGAGGGTGAATTACATGGATTATGGGAGGGTGTCTTACATGGATTATATGGGGGTGTGTTACATGACTTATATGAGGGTGTGGTTCATAGATTATATGAGGGTGTGCTACAAGTATTATATGAGATTGTGCTACAAGTATTACATGAGGGTGTATTACATGTATTATATCATGGTGTGTTACATGGTTTATATGAGGGTGTGTCACATGTATTATATGACGGTGTGTTACATGGACTATATGATGGTGTGTTATATGGATTATATGAGGTTGTGTTACATGAATTATATGAGGGTGTATGAGGGTGTGTTACGTGGATTATATGAGGGCGTGTTACATGTATTATTTGAGGGTGTGTTACATATATTATATGTGGGTGTGTTACATGTATTCTATGAGGGTGTGTTAAAAGTATTATATGAGGGTATGCTTATTATATGAGGGTGAGGTACATGTATTATATGGGGGTGTGTTACATGTGTTATATGACGGTGTGTTACATGGAGTATATGAGGGTGTGTCACATGGATTATATGAGTGTGTGTTACATGTATTGTATGAGGGTGTGTTACGTGAATTATATGAGGGTGTGGTACATGGATTATATCAGCGTGTGTTACATGTATTGTATGAGGGTGTGTTAAAAGTATTATATGAGGATGAGCTACAAGTATTCCAAGTATTATATGAGGATGTGTTACATGTATTATTTACATGGATTATATTAGGGTGTGTTACATGTAGTATCTGCGGGTGTGTTACATGGAGTATATGAGGGTGTGTTGCATGTATTATATGAGTGAATTATATGAGGGCGTGTTACATGTATTATATTAGGTTGTGTTACAAGTTTTATATGAGGGTGTTTATATGAGGGTGTGCTACAAGTATTACATGAGGGTGTGCTACAAGTATTACATGAGGGTGTGCTACGTATACAAGTATTATATGAGGATGAGCTACAAGTATTCCAAGTATTATATGAGGATGTGTTACATGTATTCTATGAGGGTGTGTTACGTGAATTATATGAGGGTGTGTCACATGTATTATATGACGGTGTGTTACATGTAGTATCTGCGGGTGTGTTACATGTTTTATATGAGGGTGTGTCACATGGATTATATGAATATGAGGGTGTGTTGCATGGATTATATGAGGGTTTGTTACATGAATTATATGCGGGTGTGTTACATGGATGTGTGTTACATGGATGTGTGTTACATGGATGTGTGTTACATGGATTCTATGAGGGTGTGTTACGTGTATTATATGAGGGGGTGTTACAAGTATCATATGAGGGGGTGTTACATGTATTATATGGGGGTGTGTTACATGACTTATATGAGGGTGTGGTACATGGATTATATGGGGGTGTGTTACATGGAGTATATGAGGGTGTGTCACATGTATTATATGAGAGTGTGTTACAAGTATCATATGAGGGGGTGTTACAAGTATCATATAAGGGTGTGTTACAAGTATTATATGAGGATGAGCTACAAGTATTCCAAGTATTATATGAGATTGTGCTACAAGTATTATATGAGCGTGTGTTACATGTATTATTTACATGGATTATATATTATATGATGGTGTGTTACATGGATTATATGAGGGTGTGTTACAAGTATCATATGAGGGTGTGTTACAAGTTTTATATGAGGGTGTGTTACATGTATTATATGAGGGTGTGTTACATGTATTATATGAGGGTGTGTTACAAGTATTATATGAGGGTGTATTGCGTGGATTATATGAAGCTATTATATGAGAGTGTGTTACAAGTATTCTATGATGGTGTGTTACAAGTATTATATGAGGGTGTATTGCGTGGATTATATGAAGGTATTGTATGAGAGTGTGTTACAAGTATTCTATGATGGTGTGTTACAAGTATTATATGAGGGTGTTTTACATGTATTATATGAGGGTGTGTTACATGTATTATATGAAGGTGTGTTACATGTATTATATGAGGGTGTGATACATGTATTATATGAGGGTGTGTTACAAGTATTATATGAGGGTGTATTGCGTGGATTATATGAAGGTATTATATGAGAGTGTGTTACAAGTATTCTATGAGGGTGTGTTACAAGTATTATATGAGGGTGTGTTACATGTATTATATGAGGGGGGGTTACAAGTATTATATGAGGGTACATGTATTATATGAGGGCGTGTTACATGTATTATATGAGGGTGTGTTACATGTATTATATGAGAGTGTGTTACAAGTATTCTATGAGGGTGTGTTACATACATGGATAACGTGAGGGTATGTTACAAGTATTATATGAGGGTGTATTGCATGGATTACATGAAGGTATTATATGAGTGTGTTACAAGTATTCTATGAGGGTGTATCACATGGATAGCATGAGGGTGTGTTACATGTATTATATGAGGGTGTATTACATGGATAACATGACGGGTGTTACATGGATCATATGAGGGTATATTACATGGATTATATGATGGTGTGTTACATGGATTATATGAGGGTGTGCTACAAGTATTACATGAGGGTGTGCTACAAGTATTATATGAGGGTATGCTACAAGTATAATATGAGGATGAGTTACAAGTATTACATGAGGGTGTATTACATGGATTATATGATGGTGTATTACATAAATTATAAGAGGATGTAATACATGGATTATATGAGTGTGTATTACATGGATTATATGAGTGTGCGCTACAAGTATTATATGAGATTGTGCTACAAGTATTACATGAGGGTGTATTACAAGTATTATATGAGGGGGTATTACATGGATTATATGAGTGTGTATTACATGGATTATATGAGTGTGCGCTACAAGTATTATATGAGTGTGTGCTACAAGTATTATATGAGATTGTGCTACAAGTATTACATGAGGGTGTGCTACAATTATTATATAGGGTAATATTACATAGTTTATATGAGGGTGTATTACATGTACATGGATTATATGAAGGCGTGTTACATGGATTATATTAGGGTGTATTACATGGATTATATGAGGGTATGCTACGTATACAAGTATTATATGAGGATGAGCTACAAGTATTACATGAGGGTGTATTACATGGATTATATGAGGGTGTGTTACATGTATTATATGATGGTGTATTACATGGATTATATAAGGGTGTGGTACATAGATTATATGAGGGTGTATTACATGGATTATATGAGGGTGTGCAACAAGTATTATATGAGGATGAGCTACAAGTATTACAAGTATTATATGAGGATGTATGACATGGATTATATGAGATTGTGTTACATGTATTATATGAGGGTGTATTACATGGATTATATGAGGGTGTGGTACATAGATTATATGAGGGTGTATTACGTGGATTATATGAGGGTGTGGTACATAGATTATATGAGGGTGTATTACATGGATTATATGAGGGTACAGTGCTACAAGTATTATATGAGGGTGTATTATATGGATTATATAAGGGTGTGTTATGTATACAAGTATTTCATGCATGAGGGTGTATTATATGGATTATATGAGGGTGTGTTACAAGGATTACATGAGGTGCATAACATGAAATATATGAGGTTTATTACAAGGATTATTAATGGCGAGTTACAAGGTTTACATGAGGAATGTTACAAGTATATATGAAGATGTGTTTCATGGATTATATGAGGGTGTGCACGTGGTACTACAGAGGGTGTGTTACAAAAGACTTTCAGAGTTTTCATATGTAACATTGAGTATGTTTTATCAGTTCAACTGCTGTTTCCTTACAAGTTTTTCATCACAGTTGGTCCAGAAATTAAAGTACCGGATTTTAATACAGGCTGCTGTGGTTCACTTCCCTGTGCATCACAAAGAATAAACTGTTGTCAACACAGAGGACACTTACTTCACAAGTACCAATTACAAGCTTTGGTTGCTACAGGGAATGCATAATTCAGAAGTAAGAGTAAGTTATGATCGAGTATAAGAGTAAATCATGGCAGATACAGAGAATGGTGAAAGTGGGCTATATATTGCTACAGCCTCTATGTTGTACAGGAAACTCTTATTTCAGAAATGACAGGACAAATTGAGTAAATATTGAAGTATGAAACTTAGTTTTTAATATGTACAGTATACATACCTTGTACTCTCTAGGTTGGAGAAGTTCTCTTTTCACAGGGGGCTCCTTGAGTTCCTTCTCCAGTAAAGCCATCTGCTCTGCCTCTAACTTCTCTTTCGCTATCTTTTCGTATTCGTCTTTGTCCCATTTTCGCCTGAAGTCTGTCACACTTTTCTGAAACACAAAAAACTTCAATGTATATATCTTTCAATGACATTTGATCTTATATGAAGAAAATCAATCATGGAATAGCCCGACTTACAAACTTGACTTAATCAATGTTTCTTGCGCTACTTCAGACTCGAACTAAACATTGAAAGGTTCAGACAGGCCATCCAAGAAAAGGCTATACAGTACAATATTGACAATTATGTATATATGAAACAAGGAAGAAAACCCAACCAGATTGCCATTAGAAGTTGATTTTGAGAAAAAAACACCATAACAATTTCAAAAATAGAAATTTTAAACTGGTAGATTTAAAGAAATTTTTTGGATGAACATACACGATATATTTCCATTTCATCTTTGTAATGGCCGAAAACAAGACCTGGGTATCAAAAATTTACAAAGGGCTATAACTCTGTATATAGTGTTGGCATATGAAGGTGACAGAGTATATGAAATATGACTGACACATATGAACAAATGGCAATAACTATGTAGATATATAGTTTAATAAAAGACCTAATTGCAGTACCTGACCCTTCCCATCTCAAATGGTACACTACACGCTTGCAAATTTTGGCAATTAAAGGAAAAGAATATACGTGTCCTGAACAAAGTAAAAAACTAATATATGTATTTTCTTTTAAACCAGGTTAAACAAACACTGGAAAATCACCCCAATAATTATGAACCAAGCTTCTACTAACTAGCTGTGGTAATACATACAGGCTTCCCTAATGTCCAATTTAAATTCAGTATTTTTTAACCCATGATTGGCATGAAACCTTTTAATATCTATACTTCGAAGTATAGTTCATTGACAGGTCTGTAACAACATGTAATTATTCATAATGTGTGTATACTAAATAGTAAAATGAACTCTCTTTTTTTTAGACTTGTGATCTATACATGCCTGCCAGTCCTTTTTTTAATAACTGAATACCCTTATTTTAAATGAAATTAGGATGCAACTTTTTTTTAACCCACTGCACATGTACATAATTTTCACTAGTTTTGAGAAATAAAGTCTTCTTCAATGCTTCCAAATGCAACCGGAAGTGGAGTGGACAATATTAAGAAGCACCTTAAGAAGCGATTCGATGCTTACAACGGTGTCAGCTGCAATGAACCAATGTCTAGCTAATTTTATCATATAAGTCTATCAAGCCCATGTGATGATCGATCAGAAACAAACGACTCGTTGGCCAAGTGGATTTAGGGCGAAACACCCAGGTCTTTTTTCTTCTCTCGTCAGTGGCTTTGTTGGCAGACATTTAAGTCTTCCGTGTTTAAAACAAACATCCGATTCTGGTAAGCCGTGTTTTTGTTTTCATGAAACTACTACAAACCTCGTAAATGCCAGCCATCTTTGTTTTGTGAAAGAAATAACACAGAGTAAAGCAAATATTTTTAAGCGAACCACAAATTTTGGAACATTATTCTGTAACAGTTCCTCTATCGCCACGTTTTTGAGATATCTCCTAAAACTGTGTCAGAGCATTTCAATACTTTGTGTATATTTTACTTGCGTTTTAATTGTTTCATTCAGAATTTGTGATTAAATTTCTAATATTTATTTTGAACCACTTGTTTGAGTACGATAGTTTGACTGAAAGTCTGCATCAACAAAATGTTTGAATGCACGGCGAAATAGTACTGACAAAACAAGCAATGAAATTACGTCAAAGATATAATTTTCCACCCAGAGTTGACGTGGCCTGAATAAAAACAGACGGTAAATGAGTGGCGTTAACTATCTACAACGTTCAACAAGGAGGTTAATGCACTCTACTTAAAGCTGAACCTGTAACTTTACTGTCAGTTGCTGCTTATATGCGACACTTATGAATCAGAGACATATAAAACCTTTATTTATTGGTAAAATCGACACGGTACACAAGGCCCTAGTTTTTACGCATTTGTACATACATAATGTCCATAATTTTTTTGAACGTTGTATGCTATATATAGTGTTCTTACACAAATTTCTGTTAAGAAATCTTTATTGTTTGTGATTGGATGACATTTCGGACCTGTTATAAATCTTGAAATGTATATATATTGCTTCATGTGTCTGAGCTGTGAGTTACTGTACGTTTACCTAATAGTTTATGCTTCTTCTGTATAAACTTGCATGAATGTCTAGAGTCAGCAAAAATGCATAAACGTGTACACTATATGACACAAAGAAGAAATAATATATAGCAGTTGGGTATCTCTTGGTACTTTCTGCACTGATTCCACATTTGATAAGGCCACAGACTTAAATTCTAATCTAATTCCTTGATAAGACCAAATAAAAAAATATTGTGTTCTAACCCTGAAGTTTTGATTGGCATTTAATATACAAAAATGACATATTCATTGTTAAAGTCCAAACTCCTGCTCTATATAATAATAATTATATACAGCATTTATATAGCGCCCTATATAATTTGTAAAATTACTCTAAGCAATGTGCACATAATTGAACAAATAAAAGGGTGGTATTTACATGATGTCTTTGCAAAGATTCTAAAATGCAGACGTGAAGAGGTGAGTTTTTATGTCCCTCTTGAACTTGGCCAGAGTATTTGATTTCCTAATAGCAGATGGTAAACTATTCCACAACGTAGCCGAAACCCTCCCAAAGCATCTGTTTCCGTAGGTCACAGTACGAGATTTTGGGACACACAACAAAGATTCTGACTCTGACTGCAGTGATCTTGACGGCTGATACAGGGTAACGAGTTCCTGTAGGTACTGAGGAACTGTTCCATTCAGTGCCTTGTATGTGTATACCAGAATTTTGTACTGCAACCTGTATCGTACAGGTAACCAGTGTAACGAATAAAGCGCAGGTGTGATGTGCTCTCTCTTTCGAGTACGAGTAACTAGCCGTGCTGCAGTGTTCTGGACCCTCTGCAGACGACTAGTTAGTTTGTCAGATATATCACAGAGCAGGGCGTTACCATAATCCAACCGAGAGGTAACAAGTGAATGCACCAAAATCTTGCATGCATCTGCAGTTAGAAACTGCCGAATACAGCCGATGTTCCTGATCTGGTAGTAACAGGATTTGGCAATAGCGTTCACTTGTTTCTCCATGTTCAGAGAACTGTCAAAGTATACCCCTAGGTTTTTAACAGCTGGAACAGTCTCAATAGTTCTGGCACCAACCTTGAGCTGGAGAGCCATTGTTTGCTGACACTTTGGGGAAAAGACGATTAGTTCCGTCTTTTCCTGATTAAGTTTAAGCATGTTGGCGTTCATCCAGATACTGATATCTGTCAGACAAGCTTCCAGACTTTCTGAGACTGTATTCCAACTGTCCTGTGGTTTTATGACCATGTAAATTTGTGTGTCATCAGCATAGCAATGATAGCGAAGGCTATGGCGACGACAAATCTCTCCAATCGGTTTGGAGTACATACAATATTTTCGTGGTCCTAACACCGACCCTTGAGGAACCCCGAAATCTAGTACTTTGTCATGTGAGGTGGCAGATCCGATGGCAACACACTGTCGTCGTTCACTCAGGTATGACTGTATCCAGCATAGTGCGGTATCAGTCACTCCATAAGAGTATTCCAGACGTTTATAAAGTATGCCATGGTCGATGACGTCAAATGCAGCTGACAAGTCCAGCATGACAAGCACCGCTCTGCACTTGTTATCCAATGCAGAAGCTATATCACTATGTACACGTAGGAGGGCCGTCTCAGTAGAGTGTCCCATGCGGTAGGCCGATTGCATGTTGTCATGGAGACTGTTTGCATGGAGATGAACCTCTAAACGCCGGGACACAACCTTCTCCAAGATCTTAGACAGAAAAGGCAGATTTGAAACTGGGCGGTAGTTTTTCAACTCCTCCTTGTCCATTCCAGGCTTTTTTAACAATGGTCTGACATGTGCCTTCTTGAAACATAATGGAACCTTTGACTCAACCAATGATTTATTCATGATTGCGGTAATCAAAGGAAGCAGTGCTTCAAGACATTGCTTTAATAGGTCTGTAGGCAGTGGGTCAAGCTCACAGGACTTCGATTGCGAGGTCATGATAATGTTGCGCAACTCATCCTGGGTTGTTGGTGAGAGCTTTGTCAATGGTTCCCCATCAAATGCAATGTCAGCAGTCATGACAGAGATGTCAATGTCAGCAAAGGTGTTCACTTCGGTAATATTTTTCCTGATTGAGCTGATTTTATTCAGAAAGTAATTACTGAACTTGCTTGCTAAGTCTTTTTCAGAATTACAGCTTGGTAGGATAATTTCACCTTTCTGTCCCATTAGGTTTTTGGTGAGTCTAAAAAGTTGTCTTTTATATAAGCATATAGTAAAAGTATTTTCCAAAATAAGAAATATTGCCTAGCTACCTACCCTATTTTTTTCTGAGGATGAAAGCAGAAACACAAATATTTGTTTTGGCCTAAAATTTATATAGGCATACATTATTACTTATATGTTTTGATTATTTTTCAGACCACTGCCAGCATGTCAGATTCTGAGGATGAGTTTGCAAGTGCAGATGAAGGTGATGGTGTGCCAGTAAACCCTAATTCAAAAGCAAAAAAAGAAAAAAGTTTACATTCAGAGACAAAAGCTATAAAAACTGATAAATCTGATGGAAGTAGTTCGGCTAAAAGTGCTACAGTGACAAATACAAGTGTTGGAGTAGAAAAGGAAACCAAGAAAGGTGCTGTTGGTAAAGGGTCACAGAAAAAAGCACAACCCAAAAAGACAAATAAGAATAAAGCTGATGATGGAAAACAAGAAACAGAATCAGCAAAGTCCATCGATAAAGGTAAAAAAACTAATGCTTCTGGCAAAACTCAAGCTCCAAAGTCTAATACAGCTGTAAAAGGGTCTGGTTCACCGGCCAAAGGAAAGAAGAAGCAATCTGATGATACTGTAGCATCATCAAGTCCAGTTTCAGGTGATGGTGATCATAAAAAAGAAGTTATTATTGAGAGTGATAAACATGAAGAAACATCTGACATTGCTGTGTCAAGTCCCGATACATCAACACAGTCAAGTGAATCAGAGGTGAAAAAGACTCGTACACCAAGTGGGACAACTACCGATATGCAAGAAGAGATTGCTACCCAAAAGTCAAAGGAAACAACTCCCCAAAAAGAAGGAACCACACAAAACTTGAAAGATGTATCTAACACATCAACAGAGACAAAACATCAGGATGTGGAAGATGTTTCTTCTCAAAATTCAGAGGAATTAAAAACACAAACAAAAGCAGAAGGAAAAGAACAGGTATGTATTATTTGCATTTAATTGTGATGCTTGAAATTGATATGAAATGAGATATACAGAATATGGATGTTTGTTGTATGTTTAGCATACAATCTGAAGGTATGTCAGTAGAAATACTTTAAATACATATTTGAAAGTTCTTTTTCATGAAAGGAGATTAAATACTATTGATATTTACAAATTATGAAATATGAAAAAAATATTGAGTTAATATTATTTACCAATTGCAGTCATCTGCATCAAGTGGCTGGAGTGCCTGGGGTAACTGGGGGTCCTCCCTGATGGATGTAGCCTCACATTCAGTGACAACCTTCACCAGTCAAGTTGGTATGTACTGAGTGTACATGTATAGTTTTTGTAGAATTTCAGTCTGACAGTCCATGTTAACCTAATACAAATATATATATGTAAACTATATTTATAAGGTTTTACCTGAATGCAAATGCATGAGGATAAAGCCTAGCAATATGCTGATAGAACTAAATGAGGGCATGCTTTTCTTTTGTTAAAAAAAAGACTATCATGGACATGTTATCATAGACTAGAGTTTATAAAGTATTTTAGTAGCCAGCTGTCAGAAATTAGCCTATTAAAACACTGGAAAAGTTAAAGTAAGTGTATCAACTTTCTTTTATGTACAAATGAAATACTCTGGTCTTTCTGTCTCTTCCATATAATGCAGTGTGAAAATGGTAGCAAAGTAAAAATCAGAACTCCCCAGAATATTTGTCGTCAATCTAAAGAACACAACTAAAAGATTGGGATTATATTAGAAATTAACCATTTCAATTTAAGCCAGTTAATTCCAATTGCAAGGATATCGATCCCCTGGCTATAGAGCTAATAACTTAATGATGGACTTGTCCCTAACTGAATATATAAGCTAGTATAAGGCTGAAGTAAAAGAATATAAAATCACCACCAACAAACAATAAAGTTCTGTACTTGAATAATTTTGGTCAGTTCAACAATTTTGATCTAACTATTTAGTGAGAGACTCTATAACTTTTACAGAGGATGGATTCAACACACTGGTAGATGCAGTGGAGACCAGCATGGGGGCACCAACACCAGAGGAACTCGCTGAAATGAAGAGAAAGTCAAAGGTGGAAGCAGAGGCTCCAGAAAACACCCCAATGGACAGAGAAGGTAAGATATATACAAGTTATGAGAATTTTTAAAGCGGTGGTATATGTCATTTTCAGTTACGATGATCATGATCAAGCGGTGAAATGCCATGACACTAATATATGTGTATCATATTTGCTTACTCAGTGGAAGGGGATCAAAAGGAAAAAGAAAAGACTATGACAGAAGGTGAAGGAGACAATCCAGTGAGCCCTGTAAAGGAACAATCTCCAGAGGAGCAGGCCAAAGGAAACTGGTTCTCATCCTTAGCTGACCATGTTGGTATGTACAGTTTGTGATGCTTAGTCGGTCTGTGCCACTAATGTTTCTAGACTGATGTACATTTAATGATAACACTTTTTTTTTCATTCATTCCTGTCTCAGGTAATCAGACCTTTGTTTAAAATGCACAATGGGTGGGGATCAACTCCGTAAAGGGAGATAACTGGCAGTTATTAAAAGATAACCATCACAAAATTGACATACATATATATGTACATAATACATGTTGATGGGTCACAACACATTTCTATTAAATGGGACAGATCTAAACAATAACATCTCTCGAGATATATCATGCCATTGATAATAATAGACCATGGTTCTGCTACAGGAGGTGGGTTAAACACACTGATGGATGCAGTGGAGACCAGCATGGGGGCGCCATCACCAGCAGAACTTGCAGAAATGAAGAAACAGGGAAAGGTGGAAGCCGAGGCCCCAGAAAATACCACCATGGACAGAGAAAGTAAGGTGTATAAGTTATGAGGATTTCTAAGATAAATTCAGTTATAATGTATGAGTATGAAACATTGAGGCACTATGACACTGATGTGATTGTATTGATTTTGTAGAGGAAGAAGGGGATCATCAGGAAAACGAAGAAAAAGAAGAGCAAAAGACAGGAGTTAATAAAACAAGCCCTGTAAGAGAAGACAAGGGTGCTGGAGGCAGTTGGTTTTCATCATGGGGGATGTCTAGCTTGACTTCCGTGGTACAGAATACTACCAACATTGTACAGAACACGGTTAGTAGAGGCACTGAAGAACATAGTTTTTTATATACTGTAAGTAGTAAGTGTTCTTAGTCTAGGAGACCAATCAATTGCAACTTTTTTCACTAAAAAGATTATTATTCATAACAAGGTACTGTGTTCATTTGTATTTGATTGTCAGTTAAATTCTGTTGTGACACTGATGTACAGTATGTGGTATTATAGCTATTTGGTGATATACTTATGTTGTAGAGTAATGCCTTGGTGACGGGGAGTTTAGATGTTCTGGAAAACATTGGTAAAAAAACATATGATGTCATCAAAGACCATGACCCTGGTCTTCGCAAGACAAAGGAAGTGCTCTTTCACCGGGGAGATAAGCCTAATCTTTCCCAGATTCTACGAGATGCTAAAGAGGATTCAGTCAAGCGTATTGAGATGGAAAAGGAATCTGATGAAGCAAGGAAGGCTCACTTTGGATTTATGTTTGATGAGTATCAAGGCAAGTTTAGAGATGAGGTATTCAATGTACAAATGTACCTGTACTAAGTATCAGTTAAAAGTAACAAGCTTGGTCTGTAGTATCCCTAAAAGTAACTATCTGAGCCAGTATAAGCTAAAAGTATAAAGGTAACAAGTTGAATCTTTATGAGCTAACAAGATGAAAGTAATATACTGAATCTTGACCAGCTTTCAGTGTAAATGAAACAATCTGATTTTGTACTAGCTATCAGTATAAAGAAACAAGCTGAACCTATACTAGCTATCAGTATAAAGAAACGAGCTGAACCTATACTAGCTTTCAGTATAAAGAAACAAGCTGAAAATTTACTAGCTATCAGTATAAACAAACAAGCTGAACCTATACTGGCTATCAGTATAAAGAAACAAGCTGAAAATTTACTAGCTATCAGTATAAAGAAACGAGCTGAACCTATACTAGCTTTCAGTATAAAGAAACAAGCTGGGTCTATGCTAGCTATCAGTATAAAGTAGCAAGCTGGGTCTATGGTAGCTATCAGTATAAAGAAACAAGCTGGGTCTATGCTAGCTATCAGTATAAAGAAACAAGCTGACCCTATACCAACTATCAGTATAAAGTAACAAGCTGGGTCTATGCTAGCTATCAGTATAAAGAAACAAGCTGAAACTATACTAGCTATCAGTATAAAGTAACAAGCTGGGTCTATGGTAGCTATCAGTATAAAGTAACAAGAATGGTCTAAACTAGCTATCAGTATAAAGAAACAAGCTGAATCTATACTAGCTATCAGTATAAAGTAACAAGCTGGGTCTATGCTAGCTATCAGTATAAAGTAACAAGCTGAACCTATACTAGCTATCAGTATAAAGCAACAAGCTGGGTCTATACTAGCTATCAGTTTAAAGTAACAAGCTGAACCTATACTAGCTATCAGTATAAAGAAACAAGCTGAACCTATACTAGCTATCGGTATAAAGTAACAAGCTGGGTCTATGCTACCTATCAGTATAAAGTAACAAGCTGAGGCTTTACTAGCTATCAGTTTAAAGTAACAAGCTGAACCTATACTAGCTATCTGTATAAAGCAACAAGCTGGGTCTATACTAGCTATCAGTTTAAAGTAACAAGCTGGGTCTATGCTAGCTATCAGCATAAAGAAACAAGCTGAAACTATACTAGATATCAGTATAAAGTAACAAGCTGGGTGTATGCTAGCTATCAGTATAAAGTAACAAGGTGAACCTATACTAGCTATCAGTATAAAGTAACAAGCTGGGTCTATGGTAGCTATCAGTATAAAGTAACAAGCATGGTCTAAACTAGCTATCAGTATAAAGTAACAAGCTGGGTCTATGCTAGCTATCAGTATAAAGTAACAAGCTGAGTCTTTACTAGCTATCAGTTTAAAGTAACAAGCTGGGTCTATACTAGCTATCAGTATAAAGTAACAAGCTGAACCTTTACTAGCTATCAGTATAAAGTAACAAGCTGGGTCTATGCTAGCTATCAGTATAAAGTAACAAGCTGAACCTATACTAGCTATCAGTATAAAGTAACAAGCTGGGTCTATACTAGCTATCAGTATAAACTAACAAGCTGGATCTATACTAGCTATCAGTATAAAGTAACAAGCTGGGTCTATACTAGCTATCAGTATAAAGTAACAAGCTGAACCTATACTAGCTATCAGTTTAAAGTAACAAGCTGGGTCTATACTATAGCTATCAGTATAAAGTAACAAGCCGAGTCTAATCAGTTTAAAGTAACAAGCTGAGCCTAATCAGTATAAAGTAACAAGCATGTCTATACTATAGCTATCAGTATAAAGAAACAAGCTGAGTCTATACTAGCTATCAGTATAAAGTAACGAGCTGGGTCTATACTAGCTATCTGTATAAAGTAACAAGCTGGGTCTATACTAGCTATCATTATTTGGGTCTATACTAGCTATCAGTATAAAGTAACAAGCTGAGTCTACACTAGCTATCAGTTTAAAGTTACAAGCTAGGTCTATACTAGCTATCAGTATAAAGTAACAAGCTGGGTCTATACTAGCTATCAGTATAAAGTAACAAGCTGAGTCTATACTAGCTATCAGTATAAAATAACAAGCTAAGTGTATACTAGCTATCAATTTAAAGTAACAAGCTTGGTCTATACTAGCTATCTGTATAAAATAACAAGCTGAATCTATACTAGCTATCAGTATAAAGTAACAAGCTGAGTCTATACTAGCTATCAGTATAAAGTTACAAGCTGAGTCTAATCAGTATAAAGTAACAAGCTTGGTCTATAGTAGCTATCAGTATAAAATAACAAGCTGAGTCTATACTAGCTATTAGTATAAAGTAACAAGCTGTGTCTATACTAGCTATCAATATAAAGTAACAAATTAAGTCTCTACAAAGCTATCAGTAACAAGCTTAGGTTATAAAGTAACAATCCCAGTCTCTGCAAGCTATCAGTATAAAGTAACAAACTGGGTCTTAACTATCTTTCAGAATAAAGTAACGGGCTGAGCCTATACTACCTATCAGTATAAATCAAATTGAATTGAGTCTATTTGTTCATGTTTTGCCCACTTGTCAACATTATACCTTCCTTTTTCAGGCCTTTCCCACTTAGAAGCACTGGAGATCCTGTCTAATCAGTGTGAGAAGAAGGTCCAGACATTGTTGGCATCCATGCCTGCTGACACACTAGCTGACATAAAGTCTGACCTCATCAGGATCAAACAGGTGTTTGAAAGAAATGAAGAGGATAATGATGATGGTATGTAGCTCTGACTCATTAAACCCTTTTAATTTTGACATTGCCATAGTCCAGTTGACCTATTTTGACAGAACTTGCTTTATTTAAATGATGTTTTCAGGTATGAAACACTATTTTCCATTTATGAAGGTTGTCTGTATAAAGAACACAGGGTAACACTGTGTAAGTGTCACAAGTTATCATTATATAAGCACTATAGGGCAATACTGTCTTAATAAATCACAGGTAACATTGTTTGTTAAAAGACGTTTATTGCTAGTTGGTCCGAATTATTCTGACGTTTTATCGACTCTTTTCATATCGGTCTGTCATCGATTAACGTCAGAACTCCGGCCCTCTATAATATGCGGGAAATTTGCGACCCGTGCCCGGAGCGCACTTCAAACTGATATTTTAGAAACAAATCGTCACTTTCACACACATGTCGCACATGGATTGAAAGATCTATTCTTTATGTACCAGGTGGTATCAATAACATGTTTCAAAGATCATTACGAAAAGTATTTTCCAACGTTTTCTATACCAAACCATGTTTTTAATGGAAATTAGGCCATGAGCAATGTCACATGACTTGACAAGATCTCGCATTATCGTAGATATATCCCAACGTTATGACGAAGGCCGGCGAGATTTTAGTCACGTGGCATTAGAAGGCGGGGCTATCAAAAAACTAGAGTAAAACAGAGTAAGTTTGAAAAAATATGTTTTTAGAGTTTGTTTTGGTTGTTTGAGGCATGTAATTTATGTTCATCTTGTGCAAAAAGAATAGATCTTTCGATCCATGTGCGACATGTGTGTGAAAGTGACGATTTGTTTCTAAAATATCAGTTTGAAGTGCGCTCCAGGCACGGGTCGCAAATTTCCCGCATATTATAGAGGGCCCGAGTTCTGACGTTAATCGACGACAGACCGATATGAAAAAAGTTGATAAAACGTCAGAATAATTCGGACTAATTGCTAGTGTGTGAATGTATTTCAGAAGAGCCAGAGGACCAAGATTTTGTGAAGCTTGTTACTGATATCTTGACAAACCTCCATCTGGGTACTAGCCCGGACAAACTAAACAGGGTAGGTCATATCATCCATACCTATGTGTGCTATGTGTGTAGCATTGGTTTATATACCCTTGTAAATATCAGCCATTTTAAAGGATCATTGGAGAGTCCAGAGTTAGCATAGAAGTCGGGTAGTAAACTTTGTTCTAGTGTTTACTCAGTCATTCAATACTGAATTACTACCAGAAAGTCTCACAGCAATGTGTCAGACTAGTAAACGTTCATATTTTGTTTTTTTTCAACAGATTTTTACTCTAGTTTAATCTGCATTTGGTTTCATTCAATTTCATTCTCAACCCTATCCTGTGCAGAATAGCAGACAAATATTTCAAAACTTGATCATATATACTAAGGTTTGAATATCTTAATCATTGCCAACCAGTTAGTCTCATAAAAATGGTTTCTTTTTAATTGATATACATTGTATATATTAATGAAAATGTGTTTGGAAATCACATTAAACACACGATTTCGTACATGAACTGTAGCTATATATAGCCTGCTTCCAGCCTCTTTGTAAGCCCACCCCACTTCAGACATTGTAGTAATAAGTTCAGTCAAAGTTATTAAATTATCACATCTGTTTCAGTGCCAAGAAAAAATCCGCCAGAGTATCAGTAAGTTGTGTACACAAGAGGGAGAAGAAGAGCAGGCCCAGCCCAAGGTGATTCTTCACTGGAATTGCACAATGATCAGTTGATAATTTTTTCATCAAAATTTCTTAGTTATATCATGACAAAGTTTCAGGAATTATTCAGTTTAATTTATCTTAACTATGAGACAGTTTTAGTCCAAGGATTGCAGTGTCAAGTTTATTTCAATTCATGGTCGACAGCATAATCATTAAAATCTGCAAGAAACAATTTATTTTTGGGAGTTAGTTTACTTTAGTTTACTTAATTACTTTACTGAAGAAGAGTTGTCTAACTTGTGTTGTAGGCTGTCCACCAGGTGGCAATACAATCACTTGCAGAACTGACATCCAAGTCAGTGGAGCAGTTCCACAAGGCAGGGGAGCTAATTCTGTTACAGCAGCAGTCTGATGTACAGTTTACGGAGCGTGCCACCAGTCTTTCAAAGTGAGTCTTCCTTCATCATGTTATCCTCACAACTCCTTATTAATATTCACCTTCTTTCTGTCCTGAATTGCAGTCTCAACGTCCTTCCCCCTCATCACTCCCTCCCTTTTCATTTCCCTCTCCTTTTTTCTCTTCTTTATCTTTTGGCCCCAAATAACTGAAATTGTTAATGAGCTGTAAAACAATACATAAAAACCCTGTCAAGACTACCTTTATCTCCCTTCTTCCTCATTTTCCTCTCTTATCCTCATTCCTTGTTTTTCCCTCGAGCTCACCTTCATTTGTTCATATCCTGTGTTCGTGCTTTCTTATCCCTGTCCTTCCCTTATTTATCATTCCCTTCTCCCTCATGTCCTTCCTCCCCTTTTCTCATCATTCACCTTCTTTATCCTATCTTCTTCTCCATCAATCATATCTTTCCTAATTCTCACCCTCCTATCACATAAACTTCCTTACTCGTAACCTTACAAATATGTTGAGAACATCCTAGAAATGAAAGACACAGAAATCACTACAGCATCCTTGACCCCAGGTAATAAAAAACATTAAGGTTATTAATGTAAGTGTGATTTTCACCTGGAGCCAAGGATGGAACTGCAGATATATACATGTCTACACACACATATGTCCTGAGAGATATGTTCCTGATCGTGATAGAAGTGACTAATTGATGTTAATCTGCTTGTACAGTACTGCGTCACCATCATTAGCGTTACATTATGTTTGATTTTATACTAATTTTGCTGATTTGTAAGAATTCAATATATATAACACATACAGATAAACTCTATTATTTATTGTACACATATTGTGATGAAAATCTGTCCTGATATTGATTACACCCAGTCAAACTTGTTACAGGTATCCAGAAAGCTTTTATTACCATCTACCAGTAATTTGAAGAGATTTCCTGGTCCCAAATGACCAAATTACATGCATTCTACCTTGTAGATTTCCAAGTTCTTTTACGGTTTTTAAGGTAATGATGACAATATTTGGCTATAAAACAATCTAGTAATGTATTTTTTGTGTTGCAGTCTGACAAATGTCCTGTGTACAGAGGTGGGAATCTTGTCCATGAGATTTACAACCATCCTCAACAAACTGGCTGTGAGTATCGGGACCTTATCTGACCTAAAAGCTGCATTAAATGAAAGATTATTTACCATGGTTAATATGTCATTGTATAGGTCTTTTGTAAAAACTTTCCATAGGTCTTTTGTTTTTTCTGTCTGTCCTGCACAAAGTAACAATATTATTGGTTTGTGAAAATTGAAAGTTAATGCTTTGGAAATGACTGATTTTGTTGTGTGTGTTAAACAGGAGGGTGAGGAGGATAGCAGTCATATCAACACTCTGGTCACAAACATCTACCTGGAGGTATGTATAGATCGACACGGAAATATTTAACTCTGTATCATCACTGACCACCACTGTCTACCTTAAGGTATAGATAGATGTTTTAAAGGTGTACCAACTCTCTTAACGAATACCTACTTATCTACCCATCCACCTGATTTGTTTGCATTACACTGTACTGTAACTATAATGACCCTCGATAATAAACCATCACTTTCTGTTACAGGCTGGAAACAGTAGTACCTACATACAAGACGCCTTCCAGCTATTGCTGCCATGTCTGCAAGAGCTTACCATACAGACTGCTCTTCAACATGACAACTGAACCGTACAGTATACAGTTCACCATACAGACTGCTCTTCAACATGACAACTGAACCGTACAGTATACAGTTCACCATACAGACTGCTCTTCAACATGACAACTGAACCGTACAGTATACAGTTCACCATACAGACTGCTCTTCAACATGACAACTGAACCGTACAGTATACAGTTCACCATACAGACTGCTCTTCAACATGACAACTGAACCGTACAGTATACAGTTCACCATACAGACTGCTCTTCAACATGACAACTGAACCGTACAGTATACAGTTCACCATACAGACTGCTCTTCAACATGACAACTGAACCGTACAGTATACAGTTCACCATACAGACTGCTCTTCAACATGACAACTGAACCGTACAGTATACAGTTCACCATACAGACTGCTCTTCAACATGACAACTGAACCGTACAGTATACAGTTCACCATACAGACTGCTCTTCAACATGACAACTGAACCGTACAGTATACAGTTCACCATACAGACTGCTCTTCAACATGACAACTGAACCGTACAGTATACAGTTCACCATACAGACTGCTCTTCAACATGACAACTGAACCGTACAGTATACAGTTCACCATACAGACTGCTCTTCAACATGACAACTGAACCGTACAGTATACAGTTCACCATACAGACTGCTCTTCAACATGACAACTGAACCGTACAGTATACAGTTCACCATACAGACTGCTCTTCAACATGACAACTGAACCGTACAGTATACAGTTCACCATACAGACTGCTCTTCAACATGACAACTGAACCGTACAGTATACAGTTCACCATACAGACTGCTCTTCAACATGACAACTGAACCGTACAGTATACAGTTCACCATACAGACTGCTCTTCAACATGACAACTGAACCGTACAGTATACAGTTCACCATACAGACTGCTCTTCAACATGACAACTGAACCGTACAGTATACAGTTCACCATACAGACTGCTCTTCAACATGACAACTGAACCGTACAGTATACAGTTCACCATACAGACTGCTCTTCAACATGACAACTGAACCGTACAGTATACAGTTCACCATACAGACTGCTCTTCAACATGACAACTGAACCGTACAGTATACAGTTCACCATACAGACTGCTCTTCAACATGACAACTGAACCGTACAGTATACAGTTCACCATACAGACTGCTCTTCAACATGACAACTGAACCGTACAGTATACAGTTCACCATACAGACTGCTCTTCAACATGACAACTGAACCGTACAGTATNTGACAACTGAACCATACAGTATACAGATCACCAGATAGATGGCCCTTCAACATGACAACTGAACCATACAGTATACAGATCACCATACAGATGGATCTTCAATGTGACAACTGAACCGTACAGTATACAGATCACCATACAGACAGATCTTCAATGTGACAACTGAACCATACAGTATACAGATCACCAGATAGATGGCCCTTCAACATGACAACTGAACCATACAGTATACAGATCACCATACAGATGGATCTTCAATGTGACAACTGAACCGTACAGTATACAGATCAATACACAGACAGCCCTCCAACATGACAACTGATCCATACACTATACAGGTCTTGTGACCGGCCATCTTACAACATCACAACTGAACCATTCAGTGTACAGTATTAGCTAACATACAGTTCACAACACATACTGAATGCAACATGACAACTTTTAACCAGTACAGGGTACATTTCACCATACATATATCCCTACAATTTAACAACAAAAGCCTACAGTTTACAGCAGGTCACACTACAGACAGCTGTACAACACAACAATTTACCATACATTTTACAGGGAATGCTGAACCGCCTATAAAATAATATAAATAAACATATATAGGTATATACTTTGTATATAAAACATAGGCTGTGTATGTAACAGTTATAGAACATTGTTGTACAGAGTCAGAACATTGTTGAACAGAGAGACAGATGCTTGTTAATATTGACTGATAATTGCTGTTGAGATTAGTATTAACATATTGTACGGTGTACCAGTGGTATGTTTACATCACCTGAACATTGTTGTACAGAGGACGAGGTACCGATCTCTGTTTGTATGACTGTATGGTACATTGTCAGTAACATGTTATAAGCACAACTGTTGGTGGAGAGTCACCGTCCCTGGACTTGAAGGTGTCCACAGTTGTAATAAGTGTCAGACGAGCATTATATTTGACAGTAGAATCTCTTGAAGGCCATTTTTAACTGAAGTACATGTAGTGCTATCTGATGTGGGTGCTTTGTGACAAGTTTTGTGAAAATGACTAGATGCAGGATCATTTATACATTTGCAATAATAAGTAGGAATTCTGTAAAACCACATCACAATACAGTAGAGAATATGTATTGGGTACTGTGATTTCTAATTGGATGAGTAAGCTATTGTGTAAGTATAGTATATAGATATCTAATAAACACACACACACAAAACAAATACTGTCAAAGGAACATTGATATTACTAGGAAACAATCATTGAGAATCAGTTGGATTGTAATATGATATTATGGCAAATTGATGTTTTATCTTTTTCTGCAAAAAAATAATTGTGATAATAATTAGTGAGAAAATTAGTGTTAATTATTTCTTTGATTGGTATTACAATGTTATCTGTATATGAAAAAAGAATTTTGACACTAAACTGAGAAATTTATATTTGCAATCTGATAATGAAAATAAAATTGATTGTATATATTATTATATTTATTTTCAATCTGATGATGAAAAGAAACTTGATTACAGTTCATGAATAAAAAAAACCTCCAAAACGATAGTCATTGATTGTGTTTTTACCTTTTCTTAACCATAAGCTTATATCGCAACGCCTAAATCGCCACCTGTCAACATTTTCTGTAAGGATCTCTGTTCCACGGCAGTACCTACAGTTACCTCCCCTTCTTCGTTTCCGATGGTTCGGCCAGGGTACTACCGTTAACGTTGAGCACATATTTCTGTTGGTTAGAGTGACAGTGCAATGTATAATGAACGGAGGTCCAGGATTTAGGCACTGTTTTTATTTTTCATAAAAAACCCGCAAGGTATGTTTTCTTTTCGGAAATGATTGATAAAAGATATGTTTTTGCCGGAAAAATAGTTTCCAATGAATGATACAGTTTTTTTCGGCAGTGGTATAGGATCCTGTAATAATCAATTTCAACCAAACGTGGTTCAATGAGACCACTGTGGATTTTGATTGAAATGTTTTAGTGGTATGTGTTTAGAGGTTCCATCCGGCAAACGATAACCTAACTTATATGATAGAAGAAGCATGGTTGCACCATGTGAAGAACTGGATCACTCTCGAGAAAAGAGAAAAGAACTGAACGGGACTCGAGGGTTAATCTGCAAATAACGAGGGCGATGGCGACAACAACAGACAGCAGTAAGGAAAGCCTTCTTAGGTCAAATCAGGGACGATAATTCACTCTCTGGATCACGACCAAAAGCCACACTAACAGCGATAACTAAGGAGACATTCCATCTAAATCTTAACTCTCAAGTGGATTTATATGCAAAGACTAACTATTCCGGAGTTCAGACAAAAAATAGAATGCAAAAGAAACAGATTCAGATAAATTGGAGGAACTCTTGTCACGGTGTAGTTTTGTGCTAGGTGTAAAGAGTAAGAAGGGAAGATTAATTTGAAACTATTGCAAATGAACAATGAACACCCGCCATTTAATATTAGGTCAAATCAGAGTAATGCCACGTCCTCATAACAAGAGCCGGGCTAATGACAACGAAATAACAAGGCACTCGTGAACATAATCAAAACATACCTTCATATCACACATGGAAATGGAATATTTCAAATAAAACATGATGGCGACCATAAAACTTGTTCATAATCTTCGCCAAGCTTCATTCACGAAACACGTGTAGACATCAACAAGATCACACCAAAGTGTCAACAAAACCACAACTTGGTCTCATAATTGATAAACCTAGAATAGAATAAGAGTAATGAAAATATTTACGTGGAGACAATGCACTGAAATAGTATAAGATAGTAAAACAAGGTGTTCCGGAAGGGTAAGCGTCGACACCCGCCATGTGAATCCAGGTCAAATAGGAAAATAGAAAACGTCACGCCTACCATACAGCATAGTAGTCCGCCGTCCCTGAAGTTTAATAGAAGTAAAGATCGAGATACACGTCTGATTTAGAAAAGTTTGCAGTTTCCTTGATATCAAGTTCAGGAAGGTATATACGATTAATGTAGTCAATGAATTTCCTGTAAATTAAAGGCAGAGGATCGCAAACATATATGAAAGTGTAATAAAAAGGACTTTTTGAGTTTTGTAACTTGTCCCGATAAACTCTTCAATAAATTCAGCCTCGTGGAAACAAAATTGTCGACCAGGAGAGGAACAAAGTTTGTTCCCATGAAATGTCAGCAGTCTGCTGGGAATATTGTCACAGAATTCACCAAAGAAATTGTCAACCAGGTACTCAATCATTCTCACGATCTCTTCTCGATATATATTATTCTGTAAGCTAGTGAAAATAATGGAAAAGGAAAAATGTTCTGATAGATATTTTTTTGGAGGAGAGGATTCTTAAGATTGTATACAGTGTCACAATACCAGTGCAGCCGTGATTTAACGTAAGTAAGTAGTGTTGGTAAGGAGTATGGATAGGTTTTGTTATACAATTTCAATGTAGCAATTTACAGAAATAACAACAACACTTTGCTACTTTGATTTTTTTGTTAAGTTTTGGAAACGATGCTGGTTCGTATTCTTATCATTTACCTGTATCAAGAAAGATTGTAATACAGAAGCAAGATTACCAAGTATTTCTTCTTTCGAAGAATGGACAATGCATAGATACTGTTTCCCTGGTGTAAAATAAGGTATTTTCACAAGCAGGAAATGTAAAGGTGTCATCCCATGCTTTATCGACTGACACAGCTGCAGATGTTGCAGATCATGGAGTGTGGGCTGGCCCTCGGGGTCAAGAAATACATACGTGTTTTGTTTTTAGTTTGGATTTCAAGTGGCTTATTCTGTTATGAAGAATGAGTCTGATAGATTAACCCAAGCTGGGAGTGAATTTAATTAACATGATCTCGTTTTGCCTATTGTAGAATTCCGTAGGTCCATCGGTACTTTAAAATTCACGTTCCAGCTGTTAGTAGGAGTCTCTCGATACTTTAGACCTATCCTGAAAGTGATAATACGTATAACTGTACCAATGATTAAAATAACAACCGAAAGTTCATGAAACTTGAGAGGTCATTCTTTCACAAAGATTTAAAGGACGTATAACGTGTTTGAAAGAAATGGTTCGCATCCAATTCGATGAAGGAAGTATACTAATCAATGATGAGACAGCTTGGATAACGATAACGTTACCAATAACAACACCAGCAGCAGCACCAACACATGGACGTCATATCAGCCACCTGAAGCTGAGGACAAAGAGAAACACAGTCCTCAACGATATAAAAAATATGCTGAATAAGCGAAGGATGCAAGCACAGGGACCTGAGAATTTGTAACAGCTAAGCTTGTTCAGAGTAATTTTACATGTTAAGGGGTTAAGATAGACTTTCGGTCAAAATGACGCCTCCAATGAGCATATATACAACTAGAAATGTTGTTTTTGATGAAAGAAAGTTAGGAGGGGTTGACTTTTCGACATCGTGAGCTTTCCGCCCTTCTAGCTCGTATACATGATCATGGGGGTATTATTTTTACCGAAGTCGATCTAAAACATGTAAAATTACTCTGAACGGCTAAGTTTAGGTCCAAATATAGCTGTAATAAATTATCAGGTCCCTGTGGGTGCAAGCACAGAAACAATATTAATGATAAACAAGAGCGTACAGCCGATGCTGATTCCGCTAACGAACACTGACGTTGGACATTTTGACATCAGAAACGATCCTGTGTTTTTGACAAACCTCGGTAACGATAATTAAGTTTTGGACAAAACAGGCGAAAGAACCAAAAAATGCATTGTGGAAAGACAGAATAAAGCTATTATAAAAGACTGCAAGTTCCATTTTAACATCGCAGATCAATTAAACCGAAATTCTCTACATTCTTCAGGTCAATGGGGTTTCAGATTTAATGGAAAAAAGTTCCGACAGAAGTTTAATAAACACAGTACATCGTCAGACATTTTATGTTTGTACATCGATGCCGATCGCCTTACAAATATAACAAAGGACTTAAATACCGAGTAAAGAGTTTCGGGATTGTTGGAATCACGG